TTCTAGCACCATTAAAATGCTGATGATGATACAAAAAATAGAGAGAACCATTTAAAGACACAGACATTTGTGTAATGAGCTGAGGTTTCCGTGAGGACTGGCTTTCCATTGGGAAATCAGACTGTGACTAGACACCAAGAAACTTAACAGCCTGGTGAAGTTCTGACTGGATTTTTTTGGCTGCCCGGGTCCCACCCACACAATTCAACATAGTTTAACATACCATACAAGAAAAAAAGAAGAGGCAGGGGGAATGTGCGGGTAGGGGTGGGGGAAGAAGTAAAGTCTAGGATTTCTGTGAAATGTCCAGTAGGCTCTGGCATGAAGTGCTAACTCAGCCCTCAGTTCATATCAGCATTACATCCAGTAGATTCTGGCATGTAGCGCTTGCTCAGCCCTCAGCTCATATCAGCATAAACACTTCATCACAGCTGACACGCTGATACGCTAAATGAGTAAGTGCGTGCACAAAGAGGTCACCGAGAAGTTAACTAAAGGGATTATAAGGGACAGTCAACACACTTCAAAAAGAAAAACTCTGATAGGTGCAGAAAACATGGTAAATGAGCCCTAAGAATTCAAACCCTCAGCCGCGCACTCCATTACAGGCCTGACAGCTGAGTTCTAAACAGTTAAATATGAAACTGTCAACAAGGGCCTGTCTTAATAACCAAACTTGAGGCCTTTTATCCTGGAAGATTTATGAAGTAATTTTAAAGAGGCCCAAGCAAACATCTGTCAATAAATTGAATGCCGGCTACAGGATTTACAAGCAAGACAAGAATTTCTCATTAAGTGCACATTAGCACTGTGGGGATCATAAATAGTAAGAGGGCAGGAAGCTGAGCCTCTCAAGCTGTCATTAAAACACTATCTAAGAACTAATGAGGAAGTGATGGAAGGATACTAATGATCCCTCTGGCTCCTTTCGTTCGGCAGTGAAAGAGGATCGTGCAATACAGGGTTTCAGTCTGCCACAATTGGAGACCTACAGTACAGAAGTGAGGTTTCCAGAGAGCATCACAGGACATGTTCCATCACTGTAAGTCCACAGGCTGATCCTGAGTATCCTATGGTGAACCAGAAAACACACATCAAGGAGCTATGTCCTCTGAATTACCTGAAATGGATAGTAACCATTCAGGATGTGCAAAGCCAGTGGAGTTCATAGGTTCTGTGAACCTTTCAACCTTCAGGAATGTAAAGGTTTGCAAACTAGTTTGAATTACGAAAAGTTTACAGGGCAAGTTGTGTGCAGTTCCATGTGTGACATTCTACACACATTCTCTCATTTTCATATTTAAAGATAATTTGCCCATGATCGTAATCACTGGTTTTGAAAACATCGCATGACAAAAGACTAGATTTCCCCTTACAGGCTCCCCTGAGTAGTGGTCTGGGTGAGACAGGCCCTTATACCTTGCACCACACAGCAGAGAGGTGCAAGGGGTTTGTGGAGAATGAGGGGAAGTGATAATCTGGGGAATCTGAGGGGATGTGTTTTCTGGATAGGAGGAATCCTGGGGTGGATTTGCATTTGCCTCATTTGCCTCAAGTCCCTCTATTAGCCCACCACATTCTGTCCCCAGTTAGCTCCTGTTCCCCACAATAGCTCCTGTGCCTCCATTTGTTTCTGCTCCTTTAGCTCCCGCCAAATAGCCCCTGCATCCCTTTTCCCCACCAATAGCTCCTGTCACCCTTACCCCTCAATAGTTCCTCTATTCCGTATCCCTCTTTCTCCTCCTATAGTTCTTGTCCTCTGCTTCCTCCCCAGCAATAGCTCTTAGCTCCACCAATAGCTCCTGGTTCCCCCTTTCCCACCGGTAGCCTCTCTTAGCTACTCTGCATTGACACAGCCACTGCAGCTACCGCCTTCTCTCTTCTGGGCTCTGCGTATCTGGGAAAGGCAGGGGGAGTGAGGAGCTGCCAGGGGGGAGGCAAAGAGGCCACACTTGCAGCCACTCGTGGGCAACCAGGAAAAAATGCAGCCCAAAGCTTCCTGCCTGCTGGGAGCCCAGCTTCATGCATGGCATTCAATCTGGGCAGTGGCAATGCAGGAGGGGTGATTGCATGTGTGAGTGTCACACGAAGGGTGTCACATGTGGCAGGTCTGGTGTATTAACTAAACTGTCGTTACATGGTGGTTCTACTCAAGTTATACTTTCTAATGATGTACTTCCCACAAAATCCTACATATATTAACCGCTATAGTTGCATTGCATTTCCTGACCAAAATCTTCCACAGCAGTTTCATGTCCACCTGACTGGTGTGACTACAAACACAGGTGGGAAAGTTGGGAATTGTCCAGACAGACCCTGACTTGTATTTGTACACTGGCACCTATGTGTGTGCAAAAGTACACTTCTGAAAAATCTCGTCCATGGTGCACAACAAATGAACTCTCTATACATATAGAGGGAATTTAAAGCTGTGCTGCACCTAAAGTGGAGGAGCAGTCATAAAGTGGCTACAAAGCTGCCATAAAACCCACCTACCCACCCACCCCGGCAACCTTCTGAGCAACAGGAGAGCTTCCAATGGGATCTGCATCTCCCTCACAGGAGCCCACAAGGCAGGGGGAAGTGAGATGTGCTCTGAGATGGGCTGGAGACGAGAGGAGACATAGCAAGGAGGTTTGTATGCTTTGGCTATTTTGCAGTGCTACAGAGGCCCCTGTAAGTCAGTGCAGTAAGAGCTAAGTAAGAGCAAACTTTTAGGGTGCTTTATTCTGTCCTGGAGTTGGAATCACAACCTGGTAGCCCTTTTGGTCCTTGCCTTGCACTCTGCATGAAGACAGGGATGAATCTGGCCAGTCGAGTGTATTAAGTGTTTCTTCTAACAATTCTGTTACTTGGAAGATAAAAGCCTTATCATCCTAGTTATGCCAATAATAATAATTTCTCTGTAGCTTGAGTTCATTGGCAGTTCAACTATAAAGTAGTTACGTTTGTTCTATAATGGATGTATTTTTACAATCTACAGGTGCCCTGACTAAGTGTACCTTTCTCAGAGAAAAAAATTCAAATTACTATAATTAAAGTGCTAATAACATAATATTAATATTAAAAAGTAATAGAATATTATTACACTGGTTATCTACCAGTTATTATGCAGTTAAGAAAACTACTCTCTATAAAAGAGTATTATATCTAAAACATTTAAACATGCAACCTCTCAAATGAGGTGATGTAGAAATGTTAATTCTCATTAATTTGTATATAAATATTGAATGAATGAATATATCAGTCTCCAAACAAACAATTAACTCATAAAAATTAACCTTAACTTGGCCAGCAACTACTACTACAGACAAATATATTTCAGCACTTTCATCAGTAATATTCATATTCTGTTCCCTATTTTCCCCGACCATTGGAAATCAAGACTAGCTTTAATGTCAATAAAATTTTAAGTCAATAAAATTACACTCATGTAAAATCAGTGAGAGTTTAGAACTGAGCCCTTTGTGAAAAACTATATAAATGAAGGACATGTATTGCCCACCATAACCAGTTCAACTCCAGTGACATTGTTTTTCTTGCATATTGTAACTTTACTGCAAGACTACGGGCCATATTCTGATACTATTGTTCACAATGAGTAGTAGTTAACTTCACAAATAGTTCAAATGAAGCCAGTGGGACTATTTATGGAGTAAATATTATTCAGTATAACTAAAAGTATCAAAGCACTGCCCTGTGTAATTAATACATATGATGCTACAGTACCAAAACGTATAACTACAGTGTAATTACACTCTTACCATGAAAAGAGCAAGGAGTCTGGTGGCACCTTAAAGACTAACAGATTTATTTGGGCATAAGCTTTTGTGAGTAAAAAACCTCACTTCTTCAGATGCCTCTGAAGGTTTGATACTGTAGATATTCTTCAGAGGCATCTGAAGAAGTGAGGTTTTTTACCCACAAAAGCTTATGCCCAAATAAATCTGTTAGTCTTTAAGGTGCCACCAGACTCCTTGCTCTTTTCATGGATACAGACTAACACGGCTATCTCTTTATTATTGACACATCTCTCACGTCTT